ATAATAAACCAACTGCTTGGCCTCATAGCTTAGAACATAGGTGGGTGGAATAAACAGAATAGGATGCTGGGCGGAAGAGGAAGTGAGGTCAGACTCTGCTCTGCTCCCGGACGGGACAGCTCTGCTCTCTGGAGCAGAGGCCCTGCTTTGCTCTTCCAGGCACACGCCATGAAACTCCGACCAGGATGGACTTAGGCTAGAATCTTCCTGGTAAGCGCACCTTGGGGTGCTTACACACATCATTAGAAATGGGCTAGTCCAGGTGCGAGAATTAGCCTGTAAGGGCTAGAGTGCATGGGCCAAGCAGTTCTTAAATGAATACAGTTTGTGTGTTGTTATTTCGGGCATGAGCTAGCCAAGCGGCCGGGGTGTTGGGGACGCAGCCCCGCTGCTCCTATTTCAACATAACAGGACTCCTAAGGACATGTTGCTACACCCAGAGATTAATGTCTCACTCAACCCCCATCAAAGAAGCTTCTTCTTGCAGAAGACAGGAATTAAGGCAGAGGCCTTCAACTGGACAATCTGTAAAGAGTGAGAGACTTTGGAGCACTTAGTCCTAAACGGGGTATTTTTTATCAAACCTCTCCTCTAAAGCCTTAGGGATCTGTTGTGCGCACAGAGGTCCTTGTGATCACAGATAAGCACTAAGACACCAGGAATGTTAACCACACAGGGCTTTCTTCAAAGGGAGAGATGTACAACCCGTTTCCTGTCCAGCAGGTGGGGGTGGATGGAGGTGACCTCTATGTTATCTATATGACCAAGCCACACCTGGCTCCCCAGACAGCGGTAACAGAGGGGGGAAATAGCTTAGGTGACATCTATGCTATCTTTAAGACTAAGACCACACAAGAACCTCCTCTAGCTCCTTAAGATAATACAAGTAGCCTACATATAGAACCCATCTTTATTCCAGAAGTGATACATGAACTTTGAAAAGAGTTTCAATGTAATTATTCCTTATTATTCACATAGGATTGTGTTACACCAGGTATCTTTTTCCCAATTGTACACTCATGCCTCTAAATATGTAAGTATACTGAAAATATGCCTCAAATTGTCAAGACTCTGGAAATTTGAACCAACACAAGCTACTGGGTCATCTTAAAGTAGAATTCGTTCCTGCTTCATGCAGATCATTACACTGCTAGCCATGGCATTTGCAGCTACTCCCCACAGGGATCTATGCAGAAGAGGAGGCAGAGAGACTGTAAGAGCCAGAAGTGGTGGATGACTCCGAGGAGACCGCATCTTCCAGACACAACAGGACTGATACACATATGAATTCAGAGACTGTGGCAGTATGCAGAAGACCTGCACATATCCAAAGCAGACAAATTTGCAACACTGAGAAGGGTAAGTAGACACATGCATCCAGGAAACCATTTTCAATAGATACATATTGACAAAGGGAAAAATCTGTTTGCTCCATTGGAGTGACACTGGCTATGTCAAGCACACTACAGGGCCAGGACTCATGCTCAAGAGAAGCTGAGCAAAGAAAATGGAATCCAAGGGTTTTGTGCTTGTTTGTTTTGTGAGTGTGTGTGTGCGCGCGTGCACGCGTGCTTTCTGGTTTTTGTTTTGGCTTTTTCTGCCTTATTGGTTTTGTTTGTTTATTTTTATTTCTGTTTTGGGGGGGACTTTTAATAGAGAAAGAACCCAAACATGATGTTGAGTGGGCAGCAAGCAGAAGAGGATCTAGGAGGAGTTAAGGGAGGGTAAACAATATGATCAAAATACAGTTTATAAAAAATTTTAAAATAATGTAACAAAAGAATTAAAGATTTTTAAATCAAAAATACACATACAGAAGTGTATGTGTATTTCATATATAAATAAATTAAATGAAATTTCATCACATGGGATGATCATGCTTTCTCTCCCTAGAGCCATAGATTGTTTAACAAAATCCCAGTGCCAGATGTGAGAAACCTCCTTTCAGTTTGTTGGTCAGGGGAGTCTAAGAGATTCCAAAAACAACATAGGCTATTTTTGTTGCCCTTGGTGGCCTCAACCAACTTGAAGGAAAATCCTATGGCTGAAGTTAGCACATACCTCTGACACAGTCCTTGAAAGAATCAGGGTGGAGTTGACCTGAGAGCTTCCTCCTGGAGCATTAGCTCTAATAGTATGGGAAGATGCTATGAACTCTGCCAATGGAGAAAAGTGATTAATAATCCTACCCAGATGTAAAGCCTGTGGACAACAGTAATGATCAGCATAGCAAGATATACATTTACACAATGGATACTACAATGGAGCACTATACAATGGTAAAAAAATGACATTCTGAAATTTGCAGGCAAATGGATAAAGCTAGAAAACATCATATTGAGTGAGGTAACCCAGACCCAGAAAGACAAATATCATATGTACTCACTCATAAGTGGCTTTTAGACACAAAGCAAAGAAAACCAGCCTACAAATCACAATTGCAGAGAATCTAGACAACAGAGAGTATGCTAACAGAGACCTACATAGATCTAAATAGGAAGGCGAAAAAAGACAAAATCTCTTGAATAAATTGGGAGTGTGTGGATCACGGAAGAGGGTAAAAGCGGAGAGGGAGGAAGGGAGGGAAGCAGAAAAAAATGTATAGCACAATAAAAACAATAATAAAAATTCCTCAAAATAAAATGTACTGGCAAAAAAAAAAAGAGTTATTTTCACCCCTCATTAAAGAAGTTTCCGTTTGGACTTAAAAGCCATTTCATAAATCTACAACTGGCTGAAATGGAGTAAAAAGTGACCTTGCTAAGTACCTATTCCCAACTGATGCATCTAAAACACATCTCCTACACAAGGCTTGCAGGGGTGGGGGCACAATGGAAGTGGACGTGGAAAGAGAACCAGAGAACCAGGATATTTGCTGTAGGATGGTGTCTATTATATTATATAGGGAACCGTGCTCAAGAAATCTCAACAACATTGTTACCTAAACAAGACTAGCAGAATGACAATACCAGTTAAAGTTCCACTGGGAGTGAGGGAAATCTCACAAGGCCTCATCCCTAGATGAAGAGCTACGGGCACTCAAGTAGTCAGTCAAGTAGTACATACCAATAAGTACTTACGAGCGACATATACATATGAGCACCACTAAATGAACAAAGCAGGTTATATTTAGATATTCATACATATACATATGTGGCACTATACATATGAAATACATGAAACCGTATGTAATATACATATGTAACAATATTGATTAAAGAAGAAGAGGTTATGCTTGAGATGGGGGAATCACTGGGAGTGTTGGAGGGTGGGGACTGGAGGGCGGAAATGATGTAAATGCAGTACTCACATCAAATTCTGAAAAAAATCTAAAAAATGAGTACACTTTTAGTAATAACATATGTAATAATATATAATGTGGATAATGTACAACAATCAAATATGGTTTATAACATAAAGCTAAGGATGACTTATCATTATGAATGTCCATAGATATAATTTGCAATATTAAAAAATCATAAAAGCAAAACCATATAAGTCTCTCAAGATTAATATTGTGAAAATGGCTATCCTATCAAAAGCAACCTACAGACTCAACGAAATACCCATCAAAATTCCTACATAATTTGTCATAGAAATTGAAGAAACCCTTGAATTTCATGTGGAAACATAAAAAAAAAAAAACAGGATAGCTAAAATAATCCTGAATAATAAAAAGAACTGCTGGATGTATCACCATCCCAGACTTCAACTACAGAGTGATAGCAGTAAAATCAACACGGCATGGGCATAAAAACAGACATGATGATCAACAGAACTGAAGACCCGGAAACAATGCTATACACCTAGGGACATCTGATATTTTATCAAGAAGCCAAAAGATACATGCTGGAGAAAAGGCTGCATCTTCAACAAACGGTGCTCTTCAAAATGGATGGACTTATGTAGAAGAACAAAAATGGATTTGTGTTTATAACCCTGCAGAGAACTAAGGTATAAATTGATCAAAGACTTCAACATCAGACCAGATATTCTAAATCTGATAAAAGAACTCACTGGGACCAGAAAGGATTTTCTGCACAGAACACTGTAGCATAGTCATTAAGACCAGAAATTAATAGATGGGACTTCATGAAGCTAAAAAGCTTTTTATACAGTAAAGTACACCATAATTTGAGCAAAGTGGCAGCCTACAGATTAGTAAAACTCTTTACCAATTATACACCAGACAGAACATTAGTATTTAGAATATTCAAAGAACTAAAATAACGGAACATCAAGAAGACACATAACCAAATTAAAAGATGGAATATGGAATTTAGCAGAAAGTTCTCAAAAAATGAAACACAGATGGTTAAGAAATACTTTTAAATGCTCACCACTTAGCCTGGAGGGAAGTATACATCAGATTTCCTAGATGTTTCACCTTACCCTAGTGGGAATGACCAAGATTAATAACATAAATTACATCACAGACTGACAAGGATGTGGGGAATGAGAAACAGTTATTCACTCTGCTGGGAGTGCAAACTGGTATATCCACCATGGAAATCAGTGTGCATACTCCTCAGAAATGTGAAAATTAAGCTACCTCAAGGTCCAGCTATACCACTCTTGGACAAAGGATTGTATATCTTTTAACAGAAATATTTACTCACCCATGTTTATTGTGTCTCTAGGCATAATTGTCAGCAACTGGTGAGAACCTAGATGTTTATCAACTGATAAATGGATAATGAAAATATGATACGTTTATTAAATTGAATATTATTCAGCTGTTAAGAGAAATAAAGTTGCAAAATTTGCAGCTACATGAATGTAGCTAGATAATATACTGAGTGAGGTAACCCATACTCAGAAAGAGAACATTACATTTTTTTATATGTAGATGTTATCTTTTAATCTTTAAATATGCATGCATTCGTTAGAATAACTACAGAGTTTAGGTTGCTTGTAAGAGGCCGGGCAGGGGGTGTGGTGGGGAGGAGGGGAACCTTGCAAAGAATGGAAATCAGAATAGGAGGATTAAATGGGGCTGGGTGGAAGGGCAGATAAAGGAGGGACTATATGAAGGGACATCTACCACTGAAAGCCTTTTGAGAAGCCATATGGAAACACAACCGCAGAAACTTCCTGAAATATATACATATATGAAAGGAATTTAAATGGCTTACGCTACCAAGTAAAACCCCCAGTGCTAGGATGGGTTACATGTTGAGTCACTGGCCAAAGTAGCCTCATAGAACCACCTCACTAAAAGTATAGGCGATTGCCAATGCTATCGGTTACCTTCTACACCCGATGATAAGGCCCTATGGCTGAAGACAAGAGTCTTGTAACCTCTGATTCTCCAGAACATGGGTTCTTCTTGGCATGTGATTTGTGCCCTTTCCAGGTGTGGAGAATAGGAGTGGGTTTTGCTTCTTCAGGTTACCCATTATTTTACTTTTGTTATTCAAAAATGTTTTCAAGCATGGACTGTCCTTGTGAGTGTATACAGCCTTAACTTATGTGAACTTTGCTCAAGACCTTGTTTAACCCTCAGAATACCCTCAGAATATAAATTATCTGATGTGTTGAATAAAGTTAGTTATTGCATGAGACTTTAGTGTGCCTCATTTTTAGGCCCTGATCTCTCAGGTTCACACCATCAACGAGTGCAGTAACAGTCAATATTTTTTTTAATGATGGATACATTTATTTTAAAACCTTAAAGATTAGGCCTGCTATATAGCTCATTGGTAGAACACTTGTTTACTGTGCAGAAATATCAAGTTCCATTCTTAGCATAACAAAACTAACAAACAAATGAGCAAAACCAAGAAAAGACCTTCAAAGTCTATTTCTGAACTGCTTCTATGTATCTCCATATACAACAACCACTTCTACCCCAAAACAATACCATTTCATATTAAGTAGTACTTTATGTTTGTCTTGGTTAGGGTTTCTATTGCTGTGAAGAGACAACATGACCACAGAAACTCTTATAAAGGAAAACATTTAATTGGGGCTGGCTTACAGTTTCAGAGGTTGAGTCCATTATCATCATGGTGGGAAACATGGTGGCATAAAGTCATGGCGCTGGAGAAGGAGTTGAGAGTTGTACATCTGGATCTGCAGGCAAAAAGAAGAGAATGCCACAACAGGCCTGGCTTGAGCATCCGAGACCTCAAAGCCCACCCTCAGTGACACATTCCCTCCAACAAAGCTATACCTACCATAACAAGGCCATACTTACTATTAGTGCTACTTCCTATGAGTCTATAGGGTCATTTTTATTCAAGCCACCACAATGTTTCTCCAGGAACCGATTTGACTTCTATTTTAAATATTTTTATCAAAAGCATTTTTTCACACATCATATTCTGATCAGTTTCCACTCCCCCAATTCTTCCCAGCTCCTTCCCCCTTCCTTTCCCACTTACACTCAGACCCTTTCTCTCTCTCTCACCAGAAGAGTCGCCCTGGAGTCTACCTGAATTCCATCACCAACACAAAACCTAGAATCCCAGCACAGTTAACCCCTGCTCAAGGATCTTTTCACTGGACAGCTATAAACTTGCAGTTTTCCCAGGAATCTCATCAGGAATTCCATTTACAGGCAAACAACACATACTGAACTCTTGTGCAAAGCACAATGATTCTTAGTACTTTATCAGATTAGAGATCCATCCACGGCATCTGAGAAGTCACTTCACTTATCTCACTTAAGGAAAACTGAGGGGAAAAAAAAAAGAGATTTCTTAGCAAGCTTTTGTGATGTTATCTGAGAGCCACCAAAATTATATTTATGTATACTAGGGGATATCTCACTTTCTGGGACTTTCCTTTAGAGAATCTCATGTCATGGTCTCAGTGTGCTCTGGGTCTCTTCTTTCCTTAATATCTGCTTTAGACATTGTTCTATTGCTGTGAAGAGACACCATGACACCATGGGAAGCATGGTAGTACACAGGCAGACAGTGCTGGAGTTGAGAGTTCTACGTCTTGATGTGCAGGCAGGAGAGAGGGGGGGGGCTTAAGCATTTAAAGACCCCAAACCTAACCCCAGTGTCACACTTCCTCCCACAAGTCCACACCTCTTTGGTCATTCCCTAATGACCAAACATTCAAACCTTGTGCCTGTGGAGGTCATTCCTATTCAAATCACCACAGTATCTTTAACTAAGTCTCCAATTCTGCTCCCTGAAATTCTGCTCTCTGTCGAAGCCATGACTACCAGTTTGATATGGGTCTGGGCTCCTCAAAGATTAGGGTACCTAAGAGTGACAGTGTGTGGGTGAGTCTGTTAGCTCATCTGTGACACTCCTTTCTCCTCGTTTCCATGCCTATTCATCTTCTTTGGATAACTAACACCCTCTTGCCAGCTCTTATTTCCTTTAGTTCGACACTTTACTTTCACTGCTACCTCCAGTTTAATCACTCCAGTGCTTTTAAATTATTCTATTTTGGAGTTATGGGTGTGGCTTAGTCGTGGACTGCATACTAAGAATGCATAAGGCTCTGGGTTAAATTTCCAGCACCAAAAGGGGATATAGATTCTAAATATAATTCTACACTGGTTGGCATACAGTAAGCACATAATAAATGGGTACTGAATAAATGTTTTTCTATAGGATTAATTCCAAACTCTGGTCTGACACTCCAAAGTATTTCAAAGTCTACCTGCTGGGGAAGGAGCTCCAGTTTTCTTCAGAGATGCTGCCCCAGTTGGTTGCCCATTCTCTGTGGATGGCCCTTTACCCATGCACATGCTGCCAGCACGAACTGATGGTTTTAAAAAGAATACATGAATTTAGGAGGGAGATGGCTCCAGGATGGGTGTGAGGTCAGCAACTGGGGAAGTGGATTTACCCAAATACATTGTATAACACATACAAAATAGCCAAAGAAAAAAATTAAAAATATATATTAAAAAAAGGTGTCTACAATTTTTCTACCTACCTTTTCTAGGCATGTCTTCCACTTCTCTTTCTACTGGATTTCTCCAAGACCGCTATACTCAAGGCTCCCGGGACCACTTGCCCTTTGCATTTTCTAGGTAGGCTATTGCTTCCTGGAAATCTCACTCTTCTCTAGAACACACTTCTTTTTAAAAACATATTTCCACCTTATCTGTTCAGGTTTCACCTATGCATCTCTGCATTGTGACATCTCATTGTACACTGCTTAATACATTATGTTTCGATCTCTTTTTCTCAAAGGCAAGAGCTTGATTTTCGATGCTTTAGTGCCCCCCTCAGCACACCTTTCATTGACTGGTAAACAGTAGCAGTTCAGTGGATGTGGAACCAGAAGGAAAGGCGTCCTCCCCACAAGCCCAGTTTCCTGTTTTTTGAAGAGTCCCCTTTCTCTTATTCTCCTTCCCCCCCGCCCCCCTATTTTGAGCACCACTCCATTTACATCTCAATGTCAATACCTAAGCACCTAGAACACTTGGCATTTTGAAATCTAAATCACTCACAGTTTCTCTCCAGTCCAAGGTATTTCGTAATAAAAGATTCCTTAACCTATTGGGGTGTGTAGGCATGAGGCCCGAGGCCCGTGATAAAAGGTATGTTTTCTCATCTTCCCAGTTGCTTTCGAGATTTCCCCTATTTTGCTGCATACTGGCAGGACAAACATCTTCATTCCCTTGCACGCCTCATAATCTTGACATAATTATCTGTGACATATTGATTTAAAGTGCCGCTACAGGAAAGGGAACAGGAATGCCTCGCTTGGCCTTCTGGGAGTTGTAGTTCTAATGGCACCCGGGCTGCCTAGTCAGCCCTGGAACTGCGGACTACAGCTCCCAGGCTTTCCTAAGCCCCTACCACACAGGCTCAAAGCCACAAACCAGTAGGAGGTGGCTGTATTGTATCTATTGTATCCCTTGGCTGGTGCATTTTTACAGTTCTCTGGACGTGAAATTGAGAGTGAAAAGCATGGCAGATGAACAAGAAATCATGTGCAAATTGGAAAGCATTAAAGAGATCAGGTAAGCCCTTTCTCTGCTTAATGCAGCATCCACCCTCCTCGATCCCGCCTCCCTTCCCGGGCATCCTTGGGAGCAAAGAGAACTGTTTTTCTGTGGAAACTATCTATTGTTGGGCTACTTGCAAAGAGGGGCGGGAAAGAGGCCCATTCATCACAGACTTACAGATGAGGTGAAGAATGAGGGGGGGAAAGGGTAATTTGAAGTCGAGCCTAGAGGAGGTAGTTGGTGGAAGTGTGTGTGTGTGTGTGTGTGTGTGTGTGTGTGTGTGTGTGTGTGTGTGTGTAGAGAAGGAGGGGAGATGGTGATGCCTTTCCAGATGTGGCTGAGCTAGAATAGAGGGACACCAGGAGCTTGTCACCAGACAGCTGTATTCTTTTTTGCATGGAGACGACAGCTAGCATTCACAGACACATTAAAAAAAAAAAAAATACTTGTTTAGTACAAGTCGCTTTTCGCTTCTTGTTTTATAAAAGTTTTTTATTTTCCGTTCAGCTTTATGATCCAGAGCTTGCGAAAAGCCAAGTTTAGCTGGCCTGGCCATTCCGTTTGCAACTTTGCTGTGGCTGTAGCTGGGGATGCAGATGAGCCTGGGGGTGGGGGGCGCTGCTCTTGTTTCCCTGGAACTCTTTCATCACTTTTTTCCTATCCTGACGTTAGAAGGAGGTTGCAAACTATGGGTGTGTGAATAAGAGCGGGAGGTCTGCCAAACTGGGAACTGTCACACCTCCAGCGGGCTACTCTGCAAGCAAGTTTCGATATTTCAGTGAGATTCCTGCCCCCCCCAAACGGTAGTACCTGAAGGGCTGACAGTGTGGGCCACCCCTGCGCTGCCTAAGTACCTGCATGTGGAGAGTTTTTCAGATATATGGAGAACGGAAAAGAAAAAGACACATAGAGGATATCTTTATAAGAAATTGGGTCATGAGATTTAACCTTGACAAATTTGAGAAGAGATTTCACCTCTGTGGTTTGTGTGTGGGATCTCCACATAGTAATGGGAGTGAAGAACCTTGGTTTCATCTTCCTATTGGAGGGATTATATCTTTCCTTTTGCAAAGCAAGGAAAACTATCATTTATTGAGCCCCTGCTATGCCAGTGCCCCCCCCTCCAACATTTCTGCAAGTGTCTTCGCTGTGACCTTTGTCATAAGTGGAAAAATAAAGGCTTGGAGAATCTGAGTGAGTTCTCATAGACACGAAGATTAACAATGTCACAATTGGACAGGAATGGAGGCTGCCTACAAAGGCTCTGTTCTTCTGACTGTTTCCCACTGAAGGGTTGCTTCTGTCTTTTCCTACAAAAGCATCAGGAGGTAGGAAATGAGACTCCTAGGTGCAGGAGGATGCTAAGGGTGAAGCTAGTGAAAAGCTTAGGCCTTTGAGTAGGAAGCCTCTAACTTCAGTCTTATACTCTTTGTGGACTTTAAAATAAATTTGTCTTAGCTGGGCAGTGGGAGTGCACACCTTTAATCCCAGTACTTGGGAGGCAGAGGGGAAAGCAGATTTCTGAGTTTGAGGCTAACTTGGTGTACAGAGTGAGTTCCAGGATAGCCAGAGCTACACAGTTTCTGTCTCGAAAAAAACCAGTATGTGTATGTGTGTGTATTGTGTGTACATAGATACATATACATACATACATATGTAAAAATGAGCTTATCTTATCTGCAGAAATGGACTATTTGGGATCAAGGTAATTAATCCCTAGTGAAAACAGGTCCCTTTCTGTGGAATCCAAGTCAGGAGCCACGACTTCTATTCCCTAACCACGTTAGAGAATTGCAGGAGAGATGTAGAGAGAGGCTGAAGTTCCCCTCTAGTAACATGGGCATACACCTTGATTGTCAAGAAAGACCCAGTGTAAAAACTGGATTTCTGTTGAGAGTATCAGGAGGCCTACTAAGACAAAAGATTAAAGTCAGATCCAGAGTATTCAACTTTTGTTGAAAAAATTCTCACCACACCAATAAATCTACTTGAATGAGAAAATACACGGATGCCAATATTGATAAACCACAGATTTAGAATTATCTAACAATAGTTTTAAAATGTCCATCATGAAAATGCTTCATTAAGCAATACAGCACACTGAGAGCCTTTAAACCTACAACAATCGCAATGCAGAGAAACTTCAGACTTTTTTTTTCACTTCCCTTTTTTCTGTTTAAACAAAAAGGAAAGGCTTTAACTTTAACATAGCAAAATTACATATAACAAAACAGTTATCCAGCAAGAATTACAGTTACAATATTTATATCTATTTTATATTTTATCATAACAATGGAAAACTATAACTATAACTATCTATTCTTCAACTCCATCAAAGACTCCAGAAAGATACAATATTAGCTAAGCAAACAAGAAAAAAGCAACTTTCAAAACTCTAGAAATGACAGAGACATCTCGCTGCCTGGACAGTCACCCAAAGTTCCTCTGTACCGTTGGGGCATCCATCTTCGGCCTATAGGCCCATAGTTTCCAGCAGACATTTCCACAAAGCAGGAAATTTCAAAGTCAGTTCAGTCATTTTCTGCTGTGTCCTGAAGAATGTCTTGCAGACTCTTTCATGAATCAGAAACCCCGAAAGATCATCTCACCTTTAGGCAAGTTCAGCAGTCCTCTCTCTGCGGGTTCTCTGTGTCCAGTTTATGCAATAGTCCAGGCAAGAGCAGTTTCTTGCCCAAATGGCTATCAAACTCCATAAGGATCCTCTTCGATGCCCATCTTCTTCCTGAAGTAGATTGGTCCTTCCAGGAGCAGAGTGTTTCATTGTCATGAAAAGCCCTAAGTTATCAAAACATTTAAAATGCCATATTCTCTAGCCTTTGAAGGATATGAAGAATGCCTATCTGAAATATATCCATGCACATCTAGAAAATCTTAACTAACATGACTACAAACTTGACTATTATAGATGATTATTAACAGCCTATATACATTACATTTTTAAGTGAACTACACAATCACAATACCTTCCTTAATCAATATCAGAAATACATATACATATAACAAAATTGACCTTAAATTTAAATCACTAAAGCTAATATCAATGTAAATTATTAATACCTATATCATATCCCCCTTTAAATGTAAAAGAACATTTATAAGCCATATTTGGGAATATGGGCGTAGTTATTTCTCTCCAAACTGCTTCCTGCTGAATGGGGGCGTCATTAATTAGGTCATTCATGGTATAACCTGTGTGCTAGTTTCTTCTCAGTTGGCAGTTGAGCGAAGCAATTTTCTGAAGGTGTTCACAGCAACTCTTCAGGAGGGCGTGGTCCATCATACCATATCGGAATAGAAGAAATGAACAGGATCTCATCCTCTGTGAAAACAAAATAAGAAACTCCTTTCCAAAGTATCATATCCTTAGATCCAAATTCTGAAGCATTTCCAAAATATCTATGTTGGATTAGTTCAGCAGCATTTATAAACAAATATCTTTTAGGAGCTGTTGCTCCTTCCTCAGCATTCAAACAATTCAAAGAGAGCATAATAGCATACAGTATCAAGATTCTCTGTGTATTTTCCATCTTTGTGCGTTTTATTTTAACCTCTATTTTGTTTATTTTTACTTTTATTTTATAGTCTCTGTATCTTTGTCCTGGAATAACTCTGTAGACCAGGCTGTCCTTGAACTCTCAGAGATCCGCCTGTCTCTGCCTCACAGGCATTGGGATTAAAGGTGTACCTACTACACCTTGAACTCACAGAGATCTGTTTGTCTCTGCCTTCTAGGCACTGGGATTAAAGGCGTGTGCTACCACACCTTGAAGTCACAGAGGTCAATCTCCCTCTGCCTCCCAAATATTGGGATTAAAGGTGTGTACTACCACACCCAACTACTCTCTTTGTTCCTTTTTTTTTACTTTTAAGAACTTTTGACTTTTAGCTTGCATATATTTTTAACACACTGTAAATCATTTAGAAATTTTCTTTGTCTTTGAATCTCTCTTTACTGTATATCTCTCTTTTTCTGACCACAGGAACCTTTAAATTACTGAGCAATATGAGTAGGATTAAAGCCATGGCTTTGCCAGCTAGATCCAGTCCATTCCTTAGCTTTCCAGCCTCATGGCGGAGATACAGGCTGTAGCCAAGTTTATAGCCACAATTCTATGGTGTTTCAAGGTCCCTGCCAGCCAGCGAGCTACAACAGACAACAGTCAAGTCCTCTCTTGGTAGTTGGCCCTCCTGCCTCAGTCAGAGTTTGCCCTGGCAGGATGGCCCAGAAGGCCGGCATTTTTAAACAGCGCAGCTTTTTTCCTGCTACGGCTGAAAACCGAAAAGCATGCGTTCAGCTTTTTGTCAATACCGTTTAAGTGCTTCGTGGCAGGACCTCTTAATGAGTTGCAGGGTTTTGCAGCTAAAGTTGAGTCAGGAAGCCTCTCTTAGATGAGAGCGCTTGCTTGCCTCTAGCAAGCAGAGTAGACCCGAGAGTGCTGCTACCAAGAAACCAGGCACAAAGCTGTCATTTTGTTCTAGAATTACTTCCCAAGCTGTCTCAGGCTTTATGTGGAAGCTGTTGTCCACGTGGGCGCCATTTGTTGTAATTGGAGCGGCGGGGCTGCGTCCCCAGCACCCCGGCCGCCTGCTAGCTTATGCCCCGAAATAACAACAAACAAACTGTATTCATTTAAGCACTGCTTGGCCCATTTCTGTCTAGCCTCTTCTAGGCTAATTCTCGCACCTGGACTAGCCCATTTCTAATAATGTGTGTAAGCACCCCAAGGTGCGCTTACCGGGAAGATTCTAGCCTACGTCCATCCTGGGTCGGAGCTTCATCACGTGTGTCCTGCTCTGAGAGGAGCTGCGTGAAGTCTCCAACTCCAGACTTTTAAACAGTGTTGAAAATGTTAAAGACTCCAAAGACTTTTGGAGTTGGAGTACATGCCAGTCGGCATTATGTTATTGTCGTGGATCTCTAAGAGCCAGGAAGTACAAAGCGTTGGTTTGAATGAGAATGTCACCAGCAGGCCTAAGTATTTGAACACCTGGTT